GGTGGCCATATTCGATACTGGCCGTATCGACGCTGTACGTGATCGAGGCCATTCATTTCAAGAAGAAGTATAACGCATAGTGTATAAGCGAATCAATTAATCAGAATCTTTCCTTTCCTCCCATTCCATGGAAAAGAAGAATTTCGATTGGTCGATTCCCTTATGCACTATGCATTATGCGTTATGCAAGAGTCTGTGTTGCAGCCATTACTTCTAGGGACTCTACTTCGATTGCACAACTGACTGCTGATCGCGAAAGACTGCGCAACGTCTATCTATAGTATCTAGTCAGTCTAGAGTCCAAGTTAAGTACAAGGTGCGATTGCTATAACATAATTTCAAATAACTTGACGAGTCTTCCTCGTATTTTTGTGATCAAAAGAGATTTTAGAAAGATGCCACGACGTGGACGTGCTGCCGCTCCTCCTCCGAGAACGTGAGTAATTAACATATCTTTAGTGGTAAGATAATAAGTTTATTGTGACGAGAACGTCATTACTCATTAGCGCTCCCTGTTACATCACTATGACAAAATTCACGTGCGTCTCTGACGCAAAATCTTAAATGTCGTCCTTTTCCTCCCAAATGCGATTAAACGAATCCTCTCTGAAAAGTAGCTTCGTTTTAGTGTCAGACCGAGTTCACCTGTGGCTGCGCCAGCCCCGTCCCGAGTGCCAGCCCATGCTCCGCCGGCATCACCAATGGTGGCCCAGCCGCAGCAGCCATCCCTCATGGGCCAAATGGCTGCCACTGCTGGTGGTGTCGCCATTGGACATACCCTCGGTCATGCCGTGACCGGACTCTTCAGTGGAGGCAGCGAGGCTGCTACTCCTGCTGCCGCAGAAATACCACAACCTGCTGCTCAAAACATCCCTGCGGCACCAGCTGCTGGTGCCTGTTCCTGGGAGGTCAAACAGTTCCTGGAATGTGCTCAGACTCATGATTTGAGCCTCTGCGAAGGCTTCAATGAAGCACTCCGTCAATGCAAGATAGCCAACAGTCAGTAAATCTTGCTCTCTTTAGATGCTTTCTAGCAATAGATACAAATAGTATAACCAGAGAGAAACCTGAGAGTGTACATCCCGGCCTTTTTCGTGTACCAAACCTTGTAGAGTAATGTCCACGTTTTTGTGGTTCTTTTCCATGCTATTATGTGGGTTAGATAAGGACGAACAAAGTTAATTATTCATAATAATAAGATTGAAAGACCGCTAACGTTAAACATAATAATTTTAAATTAAGAAGCGCCATAACGGTCAGAACGTTAAGATGTTGAACTATTGTAAATTCATTTAAATGAATTAATTTCAGAAATGATAATTGCGTGCCGATATGGTTGTCGGACTTTCAACGCAATCAAATCTGAAAATATTAATAATCCCCCCAAATTCCCCAACTTAAAAACTGTAATAAAACTTATTGCGAAAAATAATGCCTCGGCCGGGAGTCGAACCCGGATCTCTTGCATTCCGTGCGAGCGTCCTAAGCCTTTAGACTACCGAGATCTTAGCATTATTCTTTGCAATAAGTGATATATATAGAGAGTTACGCATTTTCTCAGCGCGCGTGTATAAACAATAATAAGATTGAAAGACCGCTAATGTTAAACATAATAATTTTAAATTGCTAAGGTCTCGGTAGTCTAAAGGCTTAGGACGCTCGCACGGAATGCAAGAGATCCGGGTTCGACTCCCGGCCGAGGCATTATTTTTCGCAATAAGTTTTATTACAGTTTTTAAGTTGGGGAATTTGGGGGGATTATTAATATTTTCAGATTTGATTGCGTTGAAAGTCTGACAACCATATCGGCACGCAATTATCATTTCTGAAATTAATTCATTTAAATGAATTTACAATAGTTCAACATCTTAACGTTCTGAGCGTTATGGCGCTTCTTAATTTAAAATTATTAATTATTCATCTTTGTGTGTTTAATCCACATAATAGTATGAAAAAGAACCACAAAAACGTGGACATTACCCTATAAGGTTTGGTACATGAAAAAGGCTGGGATGTCCACTCTCAGATTTCTCTCTGGTATAACATAGTGACTTATTATATCCTTGTTAATGTTAGACAAAAATGTTACACTGGATACTTTCCATTTGACATTCCACTTAATATTCGCAATGCTCACGAGCATTATTTCATCCTTGTTGTTTTCAAATGTTAAACAAGAATGAAATGATGAACGCAACACAAGTATCGTTCTATTTTTTGGTATTCACTGAATGCCAAAAAAGACGATGCTTGTGTCACTAATGGAAAGCATTGTGTTTTGCTGGAAAGCATCTACAATGTACTCTGCTCCATGTTTCTTGCTTTTTTTCTACTTTTTACCTTTACCAGTATTCTGTTCTTTATTTTCTGTCTGAGATAAAAGTTGGAGAATTTCAAAAGAAACAAGAAACATGATAAAACGGTTGCAGAAGAAAAAAGCAAGAAACAGAGAGGAAAGGATACATTGAAGATTATCAAGCTTTTATAGTCATAGACCATATGTAAAGAGATTGCTTTCTAATTGTTTCATGTATTTTCTGTTTTCAGATATTATGTAAATTGAGATGCGACAAATCTAGAAATGTCTAGACGAAATTAAAGTACATGCTTTACGATCTGTAGACCGTTGACGAAATTTCTGTTTATTTTTACTGTTGTTACACATTGTAGAATAAAATAGTCCTGGACCATAAGATAATAATAAATTTGTTTCTTTAAATTCTGTAGTTGGCAGCTGCCTTTAATCTTTCCTGAATTTATACACGAACATATGTATGTTACAATATAGCAATAAATTAAAACTTGAATAAAGTTACACTTTAATTTCGTTATTAATGAGAAAATTATAAATACCTAATCACATCATTTTTCAAGAATTTAGAATATATTCGCACACATTAAAATTCACTAAAATGGTAGATTGTGTAAAATGAGCAAGAAATAGACAGTATAGACAATGCCTCACATTTTCCCACTTTATATTACAATACATTAAACAAATAACTTATTATAGAAGATGAAAATAGTTCTTATAAGATGATATACTGGGATGAAAATTCAACAAATAAAAACTTCGGTATTCTGACCAGAACCAAGTAAGTGCACCCTTACACGCAAGTATTTGCACTTTATCATATAGTTTTCTCTAATACTTAGCTATTGTATATTTCGAAAATTAGTGTGTGATTTATGAATATATATATATATATTTATATATTCGTCCTATATAACGCAGTTATCTATAATACGGCTCTTTCTTTATTCGACGAGGAAAGGCAGTTAAATACGCACAAATAGCACGAATATGATAGACTATCTTTTTTCTGTATTCAATACGCGCATCATTACGTAGCCGGCGATCGTGGCGATCGCGATTCCCAATCCTGCTTTCCACCAGACCAAGGAGTCCCCTTGCATTAGGCCGAATTGATTTATGTGCCTGAAATGTCGAAGTACAAGATTTGCTATCATTTAGTCGCGCAAGCAACTTTAACTATTCTAGCATGATAAAACCATACTGTCGTACTCTCAAAACATCGTGATTATGTTCAGTGATACATATAGCGAGCAACACAGACATAAATATTGATAAAATTCCGATCAAACTGACAATGCAGTTTTATCATACAAGTGATATTAAATCGAAAGGAAAATCTTTCCTGTTAGAGTATCCACCCAGTCAACATCAACTAAAAATAACATCTGTGTTATAATTTTGCATTTAACAATATAAATTAATATGCATAGTGTTATATAACAGTTACATTGTTAAGTGCGAAATTACAACATTGATATGTTATTTTTAGTTTGTGTCGATTTCAGAGTATGTGTAGAAAAGTGGTTTGAATTGACAGGAAATTCGTAAGAGATTCGTTGCATGTTACATGCTCATGCAAGAAAAAACCAAAAAAATGTATACGCTAAATTATGACTTAAAACACGTGGGCGTCGCAAGGAATAAACACAAGCAATAATGTAAAATAAAACCTTGTGAAAGAATCCCACCATGGAGAGGATAAGGATTCGACAAGCAATATGTGGATTGTACACCTCATATGACTGAAAAGAGCCAATTACATTGTAACATATAGTGAGCAAAAAGTATTCGTACAGACAAAACGTTTTTTAAAAAAATTTTATTTTTAAAAAATAAATATTATCCAGAGCGCGAAATGAGTCATCGAATTGATATCGAATCGATACAGATACGATGATTTTAACCAATTTGACGTCGATTCAACGTTTAATTGACGATCATTTCTCTTGTTGGGTAATTAACAATTTTTTCATAAAAAATAAAATAGACTGTATGTTTCTTAAAATTATATATACCAAAAAGATGTGTATTAATTATAGAAAATATATTATCTAAAAACTAAACGAAAATTAAAAATTGTATTGTTTGAATGTTCAAAAGGTATTCATACAGTCGAGAAATTTAGCTTCTAAAATCAGGAATACATGCGAAGCTCGTTTGTTTATGTTAGAACAGAATGTATTCATTGTATAAAATTGCTAATTAATGTTTATTTTCTACAAATAAGACGTTTTTTATAACAAATTTCCTTATACGAATACTTTTTGCTCTCACTGTATATGTTTGATCCGTGCGATGACATTTTTTAATATAAGCAAATTGCCCGACACATTTAACATGAGAAGATGAAGGGTGCTTTCCAATTGCTTAACACATCTTGATACAACGTAGCAAATTAATTCACATATTTTCAGTGTTAAATAATTTAACTCTTTTAATTACATATTTTTTGTTGTCACGATAAGCTCATGACCTTAAAAGAAAATTAAATTATTTATTAAATAGAAAAAATATGAAAACTGATTTGTACTCAATTACACTAATGCTGTAATCGTCGTCACAACACTACATTCGTACTCAGTCCGAGGACTACTAATCAGTTCATCAGGTTATCGTGACAACAAAGAATATGTAATTAAAACGATTAAATTATTTATTAATACAGACAATATGTAAATTAATTTGCTACGTTTGTGTCAAGCAAATGGAAAGCATCCGGAGTTAACTCCGTAAGCACATGCATCGAGAGGAATATATGATGACGATTAATTGATGCAGTTTTCACGATTTGTTCAAGCTTCTAGATTTTTACAATGTGAAATTGAAATTCGAACCAACCTGTCTCGGTAAAATAATACCCACGCTCCTTGAAAGCGGCTAAACACGAAATATCTTATTGTTAATACCGAATTATCTCCTTTTCTTTTCTTTTTCTTTTTTAATATTACACTACCGTTTCTTAAATTAAATTACAAGAAAAGAACGAGGAGAAGGTGCGACATAAAACGCTTTCTGTTTTCTGAAATTAACCATTAGAAAATATCGTACAAAAAAAATAAGCGAAGAAGCTCTAAAAATCTTGACGCGTAATCTATACTTTCAGATTATGTTCAGCTATATCAGCTACAAAGGAAAATATCTACTGTATGTAAATCGAGATCCATTCGGCAAAATTTCATTAATACCGTTTTTTAAGTGTGATAGGTAGGTAAACTTACGGGAAGGCTGCCATCGTAGCTAGTTTCACGAAGATTTCACGTCGGATTGTTCGTGAGATACTGTATGGCTGCGGAGGCATCAGTTTGTACTTGCTGCAAAAGGCGGTCGGTTGCAACAGATAGCTCTGCTTTATCTCAGAAAGGTCACTTTTATTCGCTACTATCAGAACGGGAATCTTACTATCGGCGAAATATTTCTGTAAGGACATATGCATCGTTTATCGTCGTGAATATATTTCAATCGTTGCAGCAGATGCAGGAAGACGCGATGCTTACGATGTAAATGCGCGCTATATACTCGAATGACTTTGGATTATTGGCGTCGTAAACAAGAGCAGCCGCATCGCACTGTATTTCCGCTGGCGTTAAAGCATCCTGTACATTCATCACGTTTATATCCTTCAATACTATGGTTTTCTCCTGCCCATATACATGTAATGTATTCACAGTAACGTGAGCGGTCGATGGTACCACCTTGTCATTCAGTTTCTACAATTTCGCATAAAGAGATTTAATCGCGAGTTTTTTTGATTAAAGTTCCTGAAAAGTAATCAGTGATTTACCTCGAGTTTAGGATCGATAAGAGTTCTACATAACGTAGTCTTTCCGCTACTTTTTGGTCCTATGACATGACAAGTATAAACATTTCTGCTGGACTGCTTCTTTGCCAGATCTACCTTCTTCTCACGAGTCACGACGATGGAGCTTGTTTGACACTCGTTGTGATACATGTTGTATCCCAAATATGCCATGTATTCTAAAGTTTTACGAACGTTTGTTAGTGTCAGCAATGCCCATTGACACATGTATCCTTGGAATGTAATCCATCCCTGTGGAAATATTACACACACCGTATGCCAAATTAAGTTACTTTCAAATATATGTACATGCACATATATTGCTGTCTAATATTTTTCTGTTTTTAAAACCCACATATCATTCTTGTTGTTTAATATTCTTTGTCGATTTATTCTATACAAGTTTCAAATTCTAATAGTTCGTTTTTCTTGAAGCCATCGTGCCGATCAGCATACAGGCTTCTTCTTCTACTTTTATAAAAAAGAATCTATCAGTGTTAGAAGTAACGATGATGCGAACAACTACCTTTTCGTTCGTAGCTACGGTGTACTTGTATTCATCACCCCATGGTGGGAAAAGACATCGCGAGAACAATGATTCCATTTCCAAGGGTGAGAGAGCTCCGTCGCGATCGCGATCGTGCTGCATAAACAGTAACGTTAAAAACTCCTGTCCCTTGTGCGATAATTCCGTACTGCAGCCGGATGGAATTTTCAATCTGAAAACCAGAGTTCTTCAGTGACATTTATTGGAGGAACTCTAAGTGGCTCTGTGACTTTTATACGTACGAAGGATAAATATATTCTTTTGACATTTGTAGCTCATTATCATATCCGAATTTCCTTAACACAGCCCAAGTCGTTTCGTTTCTTCCGCGTTGTATGAATAAACATTGTAAGTACATAAAACCTACGTAATTGCAATTAATGAAGTTTTGTGTAAATTTGTTTAGATTTAATATGGAATAACTAAAATATATCTCACCTTTCATCGTGACACACCCATTACATATACCGTCGCAGATATTTTTTGATAGCACAGCTTTTACATCTTCCAGCACTTGCGGTTGTAACGGCGTGTTGAAGCACCACTGCTGAAATGCATTCAACTCCATATCGTTTAAAAGTCCGTCGTTATCTACATCGCATATCTGCATTGGGAAAAAAACAGTATTATATAATTTTTATCATAAAAATCATGATTTTTTTTGTATATGTATATGAAATACTTACTTTAAAAATTCGCTGTAGGGCAGTTTTGCATACTTCTGTGAGCTGGAATAATAACAGATTGAATTAAAAAAAAATTTAGATATTAAATTAAAGAAATATAAGGAATATAATAAATATCTCACCTCCTGTATATCATAATTGTATAAAGGTGTAGTCGGATGCAGAACTGCCTTTTGAGCATAATAAAATGTTTCTGAGACATTCTGAAGTGTTTTTGCCGAACACTGGAAAGAGATATATCACATTCTTTTATATAACGCTTCTTCCATTTTTTCTCATTTATCAACTAAATGGCATCTTACCTCTATACAACTTTCAATCTCCGTGAACTCTTTCATAATGGGATATA